ACTGCTATTGCTATTGCTATTGCTACTGCTATTTCCCCCTAATCTTCAGCCCAACCCCCTCCCTTGGGGGGGGATCCTCGGGGATCACACCTGTTTCCTATCCCCCTCCCCCAAAAGACCCCTTGCAGCCTCCTCCAAGAGCCTCTCAAAGGGAGGGTCTCCAGCCCCCTTCACTAAGGGGAGTTTTTGAGAGCCAATTGAGAGGAGTGACTCAGAGCCCCCAAATCCCCTTCTCTCACTTCCCCCCTCCCCCTCCAGGTCCCGATGAGCCACCGTGGGCATGGAGACCATCGCGACATTTGCTAGCAGAGAGAAACAGGCCCAATCTAGCAGGCCCCGATCCAGGTCTAGGTCACCAGTAGGGCCTGATCCACGACACTCACCTCCTCCTCTGGATCGTTTCAGTCCTTCCTCCCCATCAGCTTCCACCTCCAGATCCTACATCAGTTCTAGGGAGAGGGGCTAGCAAATGTCTTCTCCAAGGCCTTTTGCCTTCTAAGCTCATCCTTTTCAGCAGCTCTGGATGGTCTTGTCCTATCCAGTGGCTTAGGTGCAGTAGACTAGGAGCCTGGTTGCTGCGGTGCAGTAGACCAGGATGTAGGTCGTTCTGGCTTAGTAGACCGCGGCCGGCGGTGGTCTGGTGGCCTCTCTATGCCCACGGGAGGTAGGGTGGCCTCAGCTGACGCAGAGTCGGCCCTGGACGCCATTTTGTGACACTCACGCATCCTCCACAGCTGCTCCAATGTCCACAATCTCCAGATGGTTCTTTAAAACCATCTGCTTCAGTAGACCAGGACCTTAAACTCGTCTTCTGCAAGTTGACTCAAGTGACAGGCTTGCTAGGAGAGGCGTGGTAGACCGGGACCTGCGTTTGTCCTAGACCACCTCTTAACTTCGAAATGGCTGCTGGAGCTCTGTCGGAGTGTTTTAAAATGCTCCACTTCTCTGCCGCTTCAAAGGGCTAGCCACTGGAGGCTCCCTAAAGTCTCCCACGAGCTTCTGAGGACTCCGAGGGACCTTGTGACGAAGGAGCGGCTGCCAATGTTCCCTCTAATTTTTTTTCAGTGTGAGCAGAAAAGTATAGTNGTGCATGCACCCACCCCCACAATTCAATGCATGTGACCCCTAGTGCACCCTCCCGTGCATGCGCCCCACCCCCACATTTTGGGCCTGCAAGGCCTCCTGCACCAACCTGGAAGCCAAAATGAGGCATGAGGGTACTGCGCGAGCCCCCCAAATACAATGTAAGCGCTCTGTACATGCACATCTCCTGCATGCACCCCACCCCCACAAAGACGACAGAGACTGAAAGACCAGCTGGCCGTCGGGAGGCACATGCGCAATGTAGCTGGGCTGGGTCGCCAGCAGCTCTGCATGCCACCTGTGGCACACGTGCTATAAATTCACCATCACGGTACTAGGATGTATGTGTATTCTGGAAGCAATACTAGCAATGCCCCATATAAAACATGCAAAACATCTCATGATTTGGTGGTTTTTGTGAGATTTCAGACTTGAGACCGTGTCTGGGTTTTCATGTTGGATTATGATAGCGCTTAAAATTGCTACTGCATGTCTGGCTGACAAGATCTCCAGTGTATGAGGCAGAGTTCTTTCACATTATTTTAATTTTAAAATCAACAATTGACCTTGAGATTTCTTGCATGAAGGGTACATGCATATTGTTATTTTTGTATTGTGCTATATTCTAATTTGAGATTATTGCAAAATGAAATACATTGGTGTAAGAGAGAAATGTCCATTGCCTGATTCATAAATATACATATAAAACTACACTACAATAGTTCAAAAGGGAGCCTAAACTAACCATGTTTTCTCTAGATTCTGGCAGTTCCAGCAGTCCTGGGCTAAAATGATTTTCATTTGTAGAGATTGCTATTTTCACTACCAAAATAATCCCCTAAATATCTGTTGAATTATCTGAAACAGAATGGGAAATACCCGCTTTCTTTAATAGAAGCCCTCCATTCAATTCTGGTTTAATACATAGAATGATTTTTTCTATTCATCAAGAGACATGGATCCAATCCATGTAAACCTTTTGGGTGATACTTTTGAGAGACGAGCATTATAGAAATAACAATTCTAAAATTGGGAAATATGCAATTAATATCATATGATAAAGTAAGTTATATAAATCATCAAATTTTAAGTAGCATTTTTCTTGTTGCTGTTTTGATTAGTACTAGAGAGCAGGACAATTACTAAATTCATTCCAGGAAAGAAATATGGAGAAACCACTGATCAGCAAGTTATTTTTCCAATTCAAACAAGTTTCTGGTCATTTATTGATGTGGATTCATCTTCAAAAAAGCATATACAACTGGATAATACTGTAATTGGCCAGTTGGTGAGTCTATACTTTAAACAGTAATTGTACAATATTGATTAGGAACAGTAATACCTTTTAGAAAGGCACTATAGATAAAATGCCAAGTTAGCATGCATTTTCTTAAAGGTGTTAATTTTCCCGGTGAAGAAACATATTTTCATTATTTTATAACGCTGATATCACCCAAATTCCATAAACAAATTAAATAAAAATCATGGTATAACAGCATAAATAATATTCAAGAAATTACTGCCATAGCAAATATAAGAACATCAAGTAATATTCTGAATGTTCCTTTCTGAAAAACATTGAATCTTGCATTTTTAGAATCTTTATTTTTAAATATTTTTAATATATTAACATTTTATTCTAAATTATTTTTAAAATTAGGACTTAAGCTCGATTTCAGCTACTCTTATAGATGCATTTGGACTTTTGATATACTGCAATGAAGCATCATGTTGTCAGTCTCCATTTCCTGTTACAAATTTCATTTTTAAAAAATCTATTAATTCAGAAGAGATTTATTCTATCACCCAACAGTTCCAAACCCAAGATTATGAGGAAGTAAGTAGTATTAGAAATTGTTAGAAAAAAGAAACAATCTTTTAATTAAAATGTTTTATTAAAACATTAATTTTTAATTATTAAATATACATTAACTATATTAATGTTTTTTTCATAAACATAATTTATACTGTCATTTCAGTTTTTTGCTTTTTCAAAGAATTTGCATGTAGAATTATGTCCAGAATCAGAAAGATTAATTCATGGCTACTATCTAGCAAGTCGAAGAGTCAGAACACAGCTCATGAATGGACCTAATCTCTCAGCAATTTCACTAAAAATCTTGTAAGTTGTAAATTGACACCCTCTAATTAAATATTGCCCATTTTGGCTTTAAGTTGGACTAATAGATGAAATGGAGAGATGCACTAATTAGAAACTCTTGATCTCATTCAAACATGTATCCATAAATGTGATTCAGACTGCATAAAAATCTTTATGCTTTCTCTATCCAGATATTAGTCCAAACATCAAAGCACTGTTGCTTAGAACATACTGTATTTTTCGGAGTATAAGACGCACCAAGGTTTTGAAAATGCCTTTTTAAAAAAAAAAAGTAGGTAAATAGAGGGATAGAGAGGGAGAGAAAGAAATACAGTAGGTAGGTAGGGAGAGAGAGAGAGGGTAGTTAGATAAAAGGATAGAGAGAGAAATAGAGAGAAAAACAGTGAGGGAGAGAGAGCGAGAGAGTAGGTAGGTTGGTAGGTAGAGGGATAGAGACAGAAATAGAAAGAGATAAATATAGAGAAATACAGTAGGTAGGTAGGGAATGAATAGGTCGATAGATAGATGTTTCCAGGTGTATTTATCCATGTGCTGGAGAAGGAAATCACTGACAATCTGCAGCACCTAAGACTTTGTTTCCCTCACTGTTTTT